CCAGCAAGTCCCTTGCACCTTTCCTTCTTTTCTCCACCATCTCCCTTGGAGGCCTGGAAATCCATTCACAGGCCTCTGTCTTCCTCTAGCCAGCTCCTGTGACAAGGAGCCCAGACTAGCCTCTCCAGATCCACCCCATCCCATTCCACACGTGGAGTGTACCCCTGCTCCCTTAGGCCAGCGACTCTGGGGCACTGGCTACTTCCCTTATTCCTTCCTTGAGCATCCACTGCCCTGGCTGACCGATGGCACCGTCCCTTTCCCAGAAAAAGACGGGTGGAGGAGGAAGCGGGGGAAGAGCAGAAGCCACAGGAGCCTTGTCTCTGGCTACAAGAAGCCCCCACTGTGTGTCTGAGAGTTACCTCGGGCTTGTCCCCCATCTCATTCCCATCACCACACCCCATTGAGGAAACAGGCACAGAGAGGTGTGGTGCCTGCCTGCTTGGGTCCAAAGCCCTTGCTTTTCCTACTGCTGTATAAACCCTGGGGCTGGAAGGATCTAGATCCCACACCTTCCTTCCCACCCCAAGACCTGGGCACATCCTGTTCTCTCCATCTGGAAACTCTTTCCTCAGATCCCAAAAAGTCTCCATTCCCCACTCAATCCAGGTCTCTGGTCAGATGTCACCTCCTCCTAGGGCTCTCATGGACCACTCCTCACCCAGCCACTCTCTGGGCCTTGCTTGTCCTGACTGCATTGTTCTTTTTTTTGGAGACAGGGTCTTGCTCTGTTGCCCAGGCTGGAGTGCAGTGGCACGGTCCTAGCTCACTACCACCTCACACGCTGGGGCTCAGTCCTCCCACCTCAGCCTCCCAAGTAGCTAGGACTACAGGCACGCAGCACCTTGCCTAGCTAATTTTTATTTCTGTAGAGATGGAGGTCTCCTGTGTTGCCCAGGCTGGTTCCAAATTCCTGGCCTCAAAGGCCTCAAAAAAATCCTCCTGCCTCAGCCTCCCAAAACTCTGGGATTACAGGTGTGAGCCACCACCCGGCCTGTGTTCTTCTGCGGCGCCGCCTGATGTGCATCAGGTGCTTATTGGTGTATGTGCTTTGTGTCAGCCTCCACCAGAATGTCAGCAAATCGAGGGGAAGGACTTTGCCTATCTTCCTACTGTATTCCCAGCACCTAGAACAAGACCCAACACTCGGTATGAGATCAAGTAATGTATGAGGAATGAATGAATGAGCAGCAACCCTGAATGTAGAATTGAACAATATTCATAATCACAACTCTCAGAATCAATGAAGGAGAGGGAAGGAAAGGCATTTCTCACCTGGAGAAGGAGTGAGTCTTCCAGACGGCAGCAGGAGACTGGCCCCCTGGGATGTGGTAGGCAGGAGGTGTGTGACTGCGCAATGTCTTTGGGCTGAGCCCACCTTCATGCTCATTTTCTCTAACACAAAATCCTCCTCCATGGGCCACTAGGAGAACTCTTTTTTTTTTTTTTTTTGAGACAGAGTCTTGCTGTTGCCCAGGCTGGAGTGCAGTGGTGCGATCTCGGCTCACTGCAACGGAAACCACCTTTGCAAAACTGTGAGACAGTGAAAGAGATCTAACTTAACTGAATCCATCTTGCTTCTTTTTTTTTTTTTTTTTTTGAAACGGAGTCTTGCTCTGTCGCCCAGGATGGAGTGCAGTGGCCGGATCTCAGCTCACTGCAAGCTCCGCCTCCCGGGTTTACGCCATTCTCCTGTCTCAGCCTCCCAGGTAGCTGGGACTACAGGTGCCCGCCACCTCGCCCAGCTAGTTTTTTTGTATTTTTTAGTAGAGACAGGGTTTCACCATGTTAACCAGGATGGTGTCGATCTCCTGACCTCATGATCCGCCCGTCTCGGCCTCCCAAAGTGCTGGGATTACAGGCTTGAGCCACTGTGCCCAGCCTCCATCTTGCTTCTAATCTCTAAGCTGTCCTTGTTCATTTCTGGGTGTAGGCTGAACTAATTTTGGGAGAAACTTAGTTTATAAACAAAGACGGTAACAGCCCTTTCCCAAAGCAGACTTCCTCGTTGCCTGGGGACTAGATTGCCTTTGTAGGACTAACATTAGCCACAAGATTAGAAATTATGGTTTAGGGCCAGGTATGGTGGCTCATGCCTGTAATCCCAGCACTTTGGGAGGCCGAGGTGGGCGGACCACCTGAGGTCGAGAGTTTGAGATCACCCTGGCCAACATAATGAAACACAGTCTCTACTAAAAAATGCAAAATTAGCTGGGCGTGGTGTGCATGCCTGTAATCCCAGCTACTCAGGAGACTGAGGGAGGAGAATCGCTTGAACCCGGGTAGTGGAGGTTGTGGTGAGCTGAGATTGCGCCATTGCATTCCAGGCTGGGCAACAAGAGCAAAACTCTATCTCGAAAAAAAAGAAATTATGGTTCAGGAGTCAGGCAGCTGGAGACTACAAGATTCGGATCCTCCCTAAGCTGCTCCTAAGATCAGCGCTTGAGATATTTTGCAGACCCTGCACTTGATGGATCAGCTGGTATCACCCAGATCAATAAACTGGCTCCTCTGATCTTGTGGCCCCCACCCAGGAACTGACTCAGTGCAAGATGACAGCTCTGACTCCCTGTGATTTCATCTCTGACCAATCAGCACTGCTGGTTCACTGGCTTCCCCCACCCACCAAGTTATCCTTACAAACTCTGCTCCCCAGATGCTCAAGGAGACCAATTTGAGTAAGAATAAAACTCCAGTCTCCCGCACAGCCGGCTCTGCATGAATTACTCTTTCTCTATTGCAATTCTCCTGTCTTAATGAATCAGCTCTGTCTAGGCAGCAGGCAAGGTGAACCCCTCGAGGGGGTTACACAACCTATGTCTCCCGGGTTCAAGCAATTCTCCTGCCTCAGCCTCCGGAGTAACTGGCATTACAGGCATGCGCTACCACGCCCGGCTAATTTTTTGTATTTGTAGAGACGAGGTTTCACCATGTTGGCCAGGCTGGTCTTGAACTCCTGACCTCAGTTGATCCGCCTGCCTTGGCTTTCTAAAGTGCTGGGATCACAGGTGTGATCCACCGTGCCTGGCCTGAGAACTCTTCTTTATTCTGCAAAACCCTTCAGGCATTCCACCTCATCCTGTCCCACAGGTGGAGTCTGCCCCACCTCCCTCAGGCTGGCGGCTTTGGGGTACCAGCTACCTCACTTATTCCTTTCTTGAGCATCCACTGCTCTGGCTGACCAAGGGTGATGGTCAGCACTGCTCTTTCTCCTGGATAGAAATCACCCATTATGGGTGGGATTCCCCTTGGGGTCCTTGGAAGTAGGGCTGGCCCACTCCCCAAGAGGTGGGGTTTGGAGTGTGGACCAGAGCTGAAGGCAAGCAGCTGGTGCTGAGGTTTTATTTCCCAATCTGCCTGCCATGCTGAAAAGGCTCTGGGAGCCCTGCCCAGGAAAAGGGAGAAGGGGACTGTGGAGTGCCCCAAGGGGGACCAGAGTCCAGGCCCTGAAGCTCAGAGTGTGGACTTCAATGGGATGGGGAGAGCAAGAGCTTCCCTTGTGGAACAGGAGGCAGTGCCGTGGTGGGGAGGCCTGGGGGGCAGGCGACCTGCCACTCAGGCGCTGGCCTGTGGCTCAGTATTGGTCCCAGGGCTGAGTGAGACCAGGGGGTGCCCACTGCTGTCATCAAATTAATGGCTGACGATCACGAACGCTTCATAGGGATTCACAGTCCTGCAAGATGGATTCCATTATTAAGACCCTCATTTTACAGATGAGGAAACTGAGTCCCAAAGAGGCTAAGAGCTTTGTGGAAGGTCACACAGCCTGTGGGTGGTGGAGCCAGGATTCAGACAACCCCTGATGGTCACCAGAGAGTGCACCTTTTTTTTTTTTTTTTTTTTGATAGCACTCTTCACCGCGTATCAGGTCCAGGAGGCTTGATCTCATGACCTCCGTGATCTGCCCACCCTCGGACCTCCCCACAAAGTGCTAGATTAACAAGCTGTGAGGCCAAGTCGCCCCACAAAGAGAGTGCGCATCCTTTTTTTTTTTTTGAGACGCGGAGTCTCGCTCGTCGGGCCATGGGCTGCGAGGCATGTGCGGTGCGATCGCGGCGCACTGCAGGCAAGCTCTTGCCCGTCCTAGGTTTCCACAGTCGCCATTCCTCCCCTGCCTCAGGCCTCCGCGAGTAGCTGCGACTACAGCCGGCCCGCCACCTCACGCCCGGCTAGTTTTTTTTTTTTTGTATTTTTATGTAGAGATCCGGGGTTTGTCACCATGTTAGGCCAGGACGCGTCTCGATCTCTGACGCGTCGGATCCGCACCGTCTCGGCCTCCCCAAAACTGCTGGATACAGGCTGAGGCCACTGCGC